CTACCGACCCATTAGTCTTCTTCCTATCATAAGCAAGGTTTTTGAATCTTTAATTAACAAACACTTAATCTTGAACCTCGAATCTCATAACCTACTTTCTGATCATCAATATGGATTTCGATCTTCTCGTTCTACGGCTGATTTGCTATCAATAATAACCGATAGGTTTTATCGCGCATTAGATAAAGGTGGAGAGGTTAAGGCCATTGCTCTCAGGGGTTCCCCAAGATTCAATCCTTGGCCCTATACTCTTTTTAATTTACATTAACGATCTTCCAGATATTCTCACATCTAAGCTGACATTGTTCGCTGATGATACTACCATTTATTCTTGTCACGATAAGAAGCCAACTCCCTCTGATTACTTGCAGGGGGCATCTGAGCTTGAAAAAGATCTCACTTCTACTACAGCATGGGGCTCACAGTGGCTGGTGAACTTTAATTCAGATAAAACTCAATTTTTTTCGGCCAATCGTTATCGCAATAGTTTAGACCTTCCTATATTTATGAACGGAAATGTACTCAATGAGTCTCATACCCTTCATCTTCTAGGATTAACTCTTACTTCTGATCTTTCTTGGAAACCTTATATCAAATCCGTTGCAAAATTAGCATCTGCTAAAGTTGCTTCTCTTTATCGAGCTCGTCACTTTCTTACTCTGGATTCTATTCTCTATCTCTATAAATCTCAAATCCGTCCTTGTATGGAATACTTTTGCCATATCTGGGGCGGATCTTCTAATGATGCCGTTTCTCTTTTAGACAAGGTGCAAAAACGCATTGTAAACATAGTTGGCCCTGCTCTTGCAGCCAACCTTCAACCTCTGTCACATCGTCGTGGTGTTGCTTCTCTTTCTCTTTTCTACAAATACTATAATGGGCACTGCTCGAAAGAGCTAGCGTCTCTTGTGCCATCTACTAAAATTCATTCTCGTGTTACTCGTCATTCAATTAAGTCTCATCCATTTTCTGCTACTGTTCCTAAGTGCTCCAAAAACTCTTATTCGTCTAGTTTTTTTCCTCGAACATCAGTTCTTTGGAATTCGCTTCCTTCATCTTGCTTTCTTGATTCATATAATTTGCAATCTTTTGAGTCGTCTGTCAATCATTATCTTGCTCTACAATCTTCATCTTTTCTCTTCCAGTATTTTCCAACACTAATTAGTGGTTGCTTGCAGCCTTGTTGGAAGCGAAGATAATTAAAAAAAAAAAATTTACAGTGAGGCCACTTCTATCGTATTTTTCCACCCACATCATTTCCGGTGAGGCCACTACCGTTGTATTTTTCCACCCACATCATTTCCGGTGAGGCAATCAATATATAGTTTTATATGATTTACCATCCCTGAGATTTTAGTGAAAATTAGTTGAACGGTTTAAGATTTATTAAGGGTTTAATAAAAACAAAATGGTGGTAACCACTATTTTAGGGTTCAGCCAGTTCTGATTATGCCACGCTTTTCAACCATATTTCAAAATGATTAGCATAATTTTTTGCATTAAATTTTCATGCTTTTATCCACTTGTGCACACTTTCAGTCATTTTTAATGCTAATCTGCTGTACTAATATACAAATAATTTTAAATGTATTTTATAAAATAGAATGCTCAATGTTTTTTAAAGAATAATTTAGAACAAACAAATAACGATATACATTTATATTGCGAGGGTTAGGATCATTGCGTATATACATTTATATCGCGAGGGTTAGAATCATTACGTATATATATTTATATCGCGAGTGTTAGGATCATTACGTATATACATTTTTATCGCAAGGGTTAATATCATTACATTGCAACAAGTGATTTCAAGAGCGACATGTAAATAGACAAATAAATGAGAATTTTTTACAAGTCTTGCTATCCGTCAAAAAACCCCATAAATTACGGCATATTTTTCTATTTAAAATTTTTTCTAATCATTATAAACAATTCTAAAATAGCTAAAAGTTTTAATACTTAAAACTTTAATTTCTCTCATCTCTACGTTCTTCTGATCTGTAAATCAAATATTCATTTCGAACAAGAGATTGGCACATTACAAATTATTAATGCACTTCCTATAACTGTATGGTCAATACAGAAATATAAAAGAAGAAAATAAAGATGTTTTTGAATACAATGAATGACTAAATGACCGCATTATTGGTGCTCGAAATAGTATTAGTGATATTTACTTGGCAAATTAAGAACTTGCATGATAGTGAGTTTTTTACTCCTGCATTTTCATTTTTATTAACACGAAGATGAAATGCGCAAGTATTTTCCATCCGGCATACAAATTTAGGGCCGAATTGTTTTCCCCAGAAAATCATGAAAAAAACGCGGAGCAAAACCTCAGATTGTAACAATCGTCATATAAACTTGATATTTTAAATAAAATTAATTTTTAAATGTAATCTAATTATAAAGTAAAAAGTAATCTAATTATAAAGTAAAAAGTAATCTAATTATAAAGTAAAAAGTAATCTAATTATAAAGTAAAAAATTTTTTTAAAGAATTTATTATTCTCTCACAACTGTAAATATGCTTTTAATAAATTCTAATGAAAAAGATATTTTTAGATATTAATTTTATGTTTTAAAAGTTTTTGCTTTAGTTTAAAATTTAGAATCATTGTCGTGATCTCAATTTTGTCGTGATCTCAATTTTGTCGTGATCTCAATTTAGTTGTGATTTCAATTTTGTCGTCATCTCAATTTTGTCGTGATCTCAATTTTGTCGGGATCTCAATTTTGTCGTCATCTCAATTTTGGAATTTAAAGTCTAATTCTTAATCTTTGTTTTTAAATCAAAATTTATTGTCTCGATCATTTCAAGTTTTGAGAAAAGTTTACATTCTAAAAAAATAAATGTATAAATTAAATATTAATCTTATTCATAATCAAATATAAATTGTAAATATATATTTTATAAAAGATGTAGACATAATCATTCATAAAAAACTTGAAATGCATCACAAATATTTTTCAATCGAATTTATGAATATTTATGTAGATAAAAATCGCCTACCAACTTTCTTTTTATCTTTCTATTTTGTTGTTACTATTTTAAGTAATTGCTTTATAATTAATTGATTGTATATCAGTAAGCATTTAAAATAAAGTATAACAGTTTAATCTCTGGAAATAAGGAAGCAAACAAAAATAAGCTAATTACTGTCATGAATAAGCACCTACTCACAAAAAAAACGCTTTGCAAATGCATTATCATATCTTTTTTCTACAATGAATGTCTTTTATTTAAGTTAAAATATTATCAAAGTGATAAGTCTTAATAACCTTTAATGTAACAGTAAGAAGTCAATACTAAATCAAAAGTTGATAGTTTGGATAAAATAAAATATGTTAAATTACGCAAACTTAACAGTAGAAGTTTAAAAAAAAAGCAAATCTTTAATTTAATGAATTTCTTTACAAATGCTAAACAATACAACTCAGTATGGTCTCACTAAAAAACCAGAAAAATACACCCATGGTTTTGTTTTAAAAACTGATTATTCTTGTTCTTATTACATGGTCTGTAGTTTTTGACTTGATTTAATCATTTAATAAACCTTCAAAATGAAATAAATAATATAAAGTGATAATAATCTATTTATCTTACAAAATAAAAGTTTCTATAACCACATATTGAATTTGAAGTTCAGGTCTCTAAAACTATTATAACTTGTTTTTAAATGTACATAAAGAAAAACACCAAAAGCTGACTGCATTTTGATATATCTGTACTTTTGTACAGTTTTATGCTAAGTGGAAGTGGCAAAAGGTTTAGTTCATTAATGACCTGCTGCAAAACATTAAAAGATATTTTAACAATTCCAGAATAGATGACATCATTTAACAAAAGCACCGCTTCAACTTTTTTTTTTTTGATTGCAGCCTTACACGAGTTTACTATGCCTAGTAAACAAGACTTTAGAAAAGTTTCTGCAACAATCTGGAGGTTTTTTTGTTGAGCAATATGGTATGCAACTTTCTATGATGCTTCTAAACATTTTGTGATAAAATAAAAATTAATTTGGGTAAAAGTCCATTTTTCGCAAATTAAGCTGTTTGGTATGACAAACATCAACATTATCAAATTCGTTTCCTAGATGATGTAGGATATTTAGATAACTATGCTGGCTTCAAACTAAACATATCCTTCACAACAACAACAACAACAACAACAACAACAACAACAACAACAACAACAACAACAACAACAACAACAACAACAACGATAACAACAACAACAACAACAACAACAACAACAACAACAACAACAACAACAATAACAACAACAACAACAACAACAACAACAACAACAACAACAACAACAACAACAACAACAACAACAACAACAACAACAACAACAACAACAACAACAACAAACATTTAATCTCGGGTGACTAAAAAACAATAAATTTATACAAATATTTTTTTATTGCCATCAAAAAAATTTTTTAACCAAAAAATTTCAAGTTTCATATTTTACTTAACTTTAGTTAATTCGTCTAGTATATTTCTTTTTAATTTACAAACTTAATTTATAAACTTATGAGCCTATACATACATATTTACATAAAAATATTAGATTTAAAAAACTTTGGTTATGTTAATTATTAAAATTAAGTTCTGAATAAAATTATTACTAAATAAAACATTTAACAAATTTAGTTAAAATTTTTTAGAAATATTTTTCCGGCTTGCAAAGTTTATTGCAATGTTTTTTTTTTATTCAAAAAAGTGTATTTATTTAATCTAAATCTACTTTTTGAATAAATGCCTGTTTATAATAAACTTCTTTTAGTTCATACTTATTTTTTGTGCTACGATGCAGTGTAAAATATGTTGAATTTAAAGTATTAGCAACCAACCGTTGAGTCTTAGCAACCAACTATTGAGTCTCAGCGGCCATCAAGTTTTATAAAGTGTTAAATAATGCAGTAGTCGCATTATTCGATCAAATTCAAACATTTTTTTTTAATTTATAAAGGGAATGAGAGTTAATTCAAAAAAATAAAATAAAATAAATAAAAGAGAATTTAATTACAGCAGTTTTCGTAAAAAATAGAAAATGTTTAAAAACATTATCAAAGCGATTTTTATTCTACTCTTAAATTTTGAAAAGGTTTTGTTTTCTTTTAATTTTTATTTTGTGATAATAATTCTTTTTTTTTTTCTTCTGTGATTTACTGATTTTTATATATGTTTTGTAGGTTATTTCTGTGCCTAACCCAACTGGAGATATAAGTATGTTTTTATCTTATACTAGATTTATTTAATTTTATGTTTGAGCCAAGCTAATATTTATCAATCATTAATACATTTTAGATTGTCTTATGGTTTGGCACTCATGCATTTTTGAGGCCAAACTATGCAAAGTTCCTAAAAATTTCTGATTTAGCACCTCGTAAAGCTTTTTAAAAAATTATCCAAACATAAATCCTAAAATATATTTATTATAAAAATAGATATCACAAATAATAGAAAATTTTATAATTGAACAAATAATAGAAAGGTTACATAATACGTTTTTTCCATTACATATATATAATACAAGAGTAATGAAAACCGATCTGAAGTTAGTTGGTTCACTTTTGAAACAACATAGTAAAATTTTTTATAAACAATAGCACAATTCCTTTTTGCAAAGACATTCAAAAAACTATTGCAAATTGAGCTGCTACTGTGTTGCACTAGGTACGTAACGATCTACTTGATTTTCACCAGTAGTTTTACAGGTGTTAAATTCGATGTGTTTTCAAACAGATTAATAATTAAATGAAAAGTTAAAAAAAAGCAAATGATTATAGTTGAGTAAGAGAAGCAGAGAAGTTGAGTAAGAGAGGCAGAGATTCTCATGATGTTTAAGACATTTTGAATAACTTTAGAGTGTATTGAAAGACAAATCTCTGTTGCTTTTAAGTTTTGAATAATACTTCATTTAAGCAGTTAGATGGGATTAGATAGTGGTTAGATGGGATTAGATAGCGGTTAGATGGGACTACTAGATCAAGTTTCTAACACTTTTGTCAAAAAATTTAGATACCACACAACTGTTTTATGAAACATTGATTCCATTAACTTTTTTATCTAATAGAAAATTATCATTTCTGTCAAATTAACAGAGATTCAAAAATCGTTTTGAGTAAAATGATGGATAGTTTTTTATCTTGGTTTTTTACAATAACGTTGTTGAGTGTCAAGTTTTCTAAGCAGATTTTTAATTATAGCATCAGAAAATCATTTTTAAAACGCAGCTTTAGAGCTCGTTTTAGAATGTTTATTTTGTTTTTGTTCTACTGCTTTTTTTTTTAAAGTTATATATAGTTTACTGTTTTAGTTAATGTTGATGAGTATTGTGTTTTTACAATCTTATTTGCATTTTATTAATAAAGTATATAGAATAATGAGAAGAGAAATTAGACTTGTTTTAAAATAATAAGGCACGTGGAATTATATGAAGAATTTTTTTAATTTTTTGTAGCTCCTGGATGTTTTTTTAATTTTTTGTAGCTCCTGGATGTCTCTACTACTTTTTAATTTTTTGTAGCTCCTGGATGTTTCTACTACTTTAACAAGACTGATCCTGATCCGGTTATTTCATCGCCAAACTTTGGGTATAGTAATTATCCAGATAGTATCAAATGTGGTTGGATGGTTGAGACAAACACAGATCTTGCCGATTTAACATTAAAAATTGATCGATTTCACTTAGAACCCAATAAACTTTGTATCATGTTTGACTATTTGATTATTTATTATCAATACACCGATGAAAACGATTGGGCCGTGGTAAGTATAAAAAATTTTAATTTGTCCTTTAAATTACATTCTTTAGAGTTAAAAAGAAACATTTCAGGGCCGAGGACACGGGTTTTGAAGTGGGGGGCACAATCGTCAATTTTTAAAACAAGTCTTTTATATTTAGAATTTTCTTAAAAAAAAAAGGTCTTAAAAAAAAGCAGTGGGCCCCGGTCCCCCGTTGTCGTCGGCTCTGTATCTTTAATTACTGTAGTTTGTTTTAAATAAATATTAAGTAACTATATTTGCTGTAAACTAATTTGAAAATTAGTTTTATTTTTGGTGGTGCAATGTTTGATAGAAACACAACATCTAATTTGTCGTTTTTTAAGTTTATTTTAATTTTATTAAACATGTCATATAATGATTTACCACTTAGTGTTTAAAATATATAAAGTTATCTGTTTGTCTAGTTAGTATTATAGTTGAACTAAACGAAGTCTAAAAACTTTACGACAGTTTTTGTATGAAATTATTTTATGAGGTTAGAAACAAAAAAAAAAAAAACATATACTTTTGCCCACTTTCATGTGAGGGGGCAACAATATTTTTTAAAAGCTTATATAAAAAATCATCATTTAAATTCAAAAAATATCAAAAAATGTCTTGGCGTAATTAATTTTATAGTATTATTTTCTTTCAGACCAAACAACGTGTTTTTTTATTAAAAAAACGGAAAAGACTTAACTAATTCTGTCAAATGCATTCTTAAAAAATAATTTCTTTATTTTTTAGTTCAATTTTTTATAAAAATATTAGTAGGCTTTTTGATTTCAATAGTTATTTATTTAGCTCGATAATAGAGAGGGTTACTGCGGACAACTTGCAAATCTACAGCCATTTGTTGTTAATGCTAAACGGATGTTTATCAAGTTTGTTTCCGATATCTCTAATAGTTTTCCTGGATTTAATGCTACAGTTCACATTGCTGTCACTGACGGTAACTAAATTAAAACTTAATTATTTTTTATGATATTTACATGTCACCATAGGTTTTGTAATCTTTCTAGTAAACCTTATTAATATTGGTGTCGAATTCAATTTTTTTTATTGATGGCTATAATCAAGAAAATTCCACTCAAAATATTTTTTCTGAACTAGAATAAAGTTAAAAATAAAAAAATATCACAAAAAATCAGGTGAGATGATAAGGGATGATGATGATATACTAATGAAGTTGATAAGTTTGAATTATAAAAGATCATCGCTTTAACACTTTGATAAATTTTGTAAACAATTGATGTCACATGATTAATGATATTGTTTTTGGCCACCAAATATTCCATCCCTCCTTTATACCTATTTCATATTGCTATTCACAAGGAAATAAAAACTGCGAACATCTATGTAGTCAAACTTATACCCAGCCAATAGGTGTCGGTTAAGGGCTTGAATGGGAGACCCATGAGAGTTTCCTAACGGGGTCCCAGCGGGAGTTGTCCAAGGACCCCTAATGGGAACCGAACGGTTTGCCCTCTAGAATACCGATAAGGGTCCCATATATTTCCTACTTTTTTGCCTTTAATGTTCCCATATAAAATTTCTGGTATTTCGCTGGGTTGCCTGTAAGTTTCCGATTTATATTTCCCTAATTGATCGCACACGGTTTATCTATAATACGTGTTTTAATATATGTATTTATACACAACTCATTAGTACAATGTGTCTGTACGTAAACATTAAAAAATATAGAACTCTATACTTTTTATCGTTTAAGAACATCTACAATTTATAAATGGATGTAGATATAAATGCTTATATTAAAATTGTTGATTACACGATATAGCTATGTAATTTTTACATAAAATTGTACCTAAAATCAAATTAATAAAATACTAACAATTTTGATGAAATTTTTTTTTTCAATTTTTGATTCAAAAATTGAAAAAATTGGTTGCGCCTTTAGTGCAGCTATCTGAAAAAGGTGTTAAGTAGTTGTGGATGGGACTCTTTGGTGAATGAACGTGTTGTCAAATTAGTAAGCCGTTTAAAAGAAAGAATTACAAAGGAAAATCCCGTTCATGGGTCATGGAACGTCAAAAACACTTCTGAAGCAACAGTATGGTGCAAAGCAGTTTAGCTGTTGGCATAGTTCTGGAAGTGGCTGGGGAAATAGTAGAAGACTCTTCATGGCTTAAGAAACAAGACAATACGGCTCACATTAATCTCGCAGAGTTTGAAGGCGAGATAAAGGAATTAATCTACTAACAACACGGGGATTAAAATGTATTACCATTAAGTTTTATTCAGCTACTGTTGTAGGCTGGTTGAACTCCTTAATTATCTGCAAAGAACTCGTTTGAGTACACGGTCTTGGAGAAATCTCTTGTATGTCATTCGTTGTCGTTAATTGAAGAACTTGTAAAGGAGTGCGGTATGACGCTCTAACGAGAGTACCGCAGAACTAGCCGCAGTTAAACCATTCTGCGATGACAGCTAATGTCGTACTTCCTGATGTGAAATCGTTTCATAATCTTTATTATTTTGGAGTCAATCGAACCCTTTATTTGATAAAACCGACATACCCGAATGAGAAAGTTTGTAGAAAAGACGTTGAATCATTCGTATTCAGTTGTGAAATATGCTAATTGGGCAAATTAGACGAGAAGAAAGAAATATTGAAGTTGAAAAGAGCTGGCAACGTCAAACTATCGGAGTAACCCACTATAAATCAAAAATTTATGGAAGCCAGTAGTGGCAAAGATTCGTTAAAGATGGTATATTGGTATAACGTGGCTCCAAGAAAAAATGTTGAGAAAATGTCGATACCCTACAAAGCTGTATTCTCCTATGAGTGCAAACTTTATACAATTTCTGCCAAAACTAACAAGGAAGTTACTAACAAGGACAAGAAGTATTTGTGAAACCACCTGACTCAAAATGTTCGAGCAAATGGAATATAGGAAGAGTCTCAGATGCAGGACCAGGAGTTTTGGTAAAAATCAATAGATTGCCGAGACACATGTCAGACGTCCGTCCTGCTCCCATTGCAGATGACTTGTGTTGTAGAAAATTGGGAAAACCGATCGCGAACTACTTGAATCTTAGAAGATCGACTCGAGTGCGGAAGTTTTCGATTAAGTATGCAGACTTTGTGATCAAGGGGTATTATAATTATTATGAATAATTGTCTTATATATAAACGTGTTGGGTCAGATGGAATATTGTGGGTGCGTCATATATTATATTGTATATAACGTTTATAGTTGTAATTATACTCTCGAAGGTATTTGTAAATGTATATATATTTAGTAAAGATATTCACAAAGAGAGAGAGAAAAAAAAAGCAAGTATAAACTTATTATAACAAACAGAGCAGCATTCTATTAATTCAAAAAAGTAAAAAATCATTTTTGAAATGAAAATGGTGTAATGGGACAACCATTTCAACGACGCTAACGAAACCTGTTAACGGCAATGATAGTAGCAATTTAAATTTTAGTATAAGCTTCAGAATAAATACCAGCTTGAACTCAAGTCAGAGATTGAACTAAGAAATTTTAAATCACAAGGTAGTTGGTTCCTTGAGCAAGTGCTTAGATATTGAATGGTCTTACTTCCATACTTAGCAGAATGATATTTTAGAACATTTAAGTGAAAATAACTAAATATTTTAAAATGATATTAGAGAGTTTTTGTGGTTTTGTAATTTTATAAAAAATTGGCAGTTAAAGAGTACTGCAAGGTCACTTAGTTTTTGTATATTGGAGATATGATTTAGCATATTAAATTTAAAGTAATTTGTTAAAAATGTATTATTTTTAAGGCTTTATTTTGGTGACGGGACAACTTCAGTGACAGATCCAACGTTTTTTGGTGTTTAAGACAGCTACTTTGTTTATACTTATGTCAAACAATGATGTTTTGCAAAAAATTGCGATGATTGGAACAAAAACACTGGAAACAAAAAAGCCCTAAAATTTCATCCCCCTCCCTGCCCAAAACGTGAGAGCAACAAGTTAGTAAAATAATTTTTTTGCTATTCTCAACAAATTTAAATTCATCAATAAACTTTAAGTATTATTGCACATCTATAAGCGCAAAAAATTAACTTTAAAAAATTAACTTTTTCTTAAACAGTACAAAACTGTAGCAGCTTTTTTAAGTGTTCTAACATCCCTCCCTTCTCTTTTTTCTCCTTTATAAGATATTAATTCTCACTCTATTTACCTATAATCAAATAATGTAATGTAGATTCAAAAAAAAAACGAAAAACGCTTGGACTTTTTTTTCAAAACATCTAAGACCATAATAAAATCTAACCAGTTTGACAACACTTATGACGTAGTACAATACTTGCATCTAACAATAAGCTGTATGACTTTTAACCAACATTTTAAAACCTTAAATCATTCTACAAAAATCCGAAGCAATCACTTTTCAATCCAATAATGTTGTTTTTGCAAAATGCGTTTTAAGTTTGCGTTTTTTAACTGGTTCTTAAAATTTACATTTTTATTGAAACTTTTGTTTTTACTCTGCATGTCTTCATGATTCAACTTGTACTATAGACTACTACCAAGTAAATCAAGTAAAAAAACTGAAAAAATAAAAAATCTGAATGAAAAATCAGCATAACGTTTACTTTGACGACATTAAAAACAATAACAATAATTATTATTTTAATTAGCTTTGCAGATAAACTAAAAAATGTAATATAAAGATAAATTCAAAAATACTCATGTAAAGTTCTTAGGTCATATTGTTTTAAAGGAAACCTCAAAACCTGACTTTGAAAGATATTTTAATGAATACTTAAGTGCTACAAACTTTACGAGAATTAAATCAAAACAGTGATTTTCAAAATTATGAAATAGTTTTAAAATAATTATATTATCCTTATTTTCTAATTTAATAGACAATAAAGATAAGTTAGTTAATTATAGCTACAATGCAACTTGGTTGCGTGTAACACTTTAACTGTTAATAAGTTGTTATTGTAGCTTATGCTAAAAATTCAGCTTGTTCTTGAACTAGTTGATCTATTCAAAAATATTTTTAAAAAATGTTTCTTTGATTACAGCATCTGAATATTCCTCTTCTTATTTTGCTTTGATGATCTGCTCTTGGGTGGTTTTGCAGAGAGTCCGCACCTAAGTTTACTTCTTTTTTTCCATTTTAATTTCTTCTCCCCACCCTCCCATTTAAAAGCGTTGGATAAGGTCTCTTTTTTCTACATCGCTCTTCTAGGGATGTATAATTGAGGATCTGTTTGTATAAGTATACTTTCTTTGGGCATAGGAAATTTATATTCACTTTCCATTGGGTTTTTTCAATTTTATTATATCATATTTGGTATAAGAAAACTACGTATTCCAAATGCAGAATGGATGTAGGTTGTGTAGAGTTTTTCCATATAAAAAATCTCTTGATATAAGGGTCTTTTTCAAAACTTATTTTTATTGCGTACTAAATTAGACAATTAAGATAATATAATCATCTTAAAACTATTTCGTAACTTTAAAAATCACAGTTTTGATTTAATTTTCGTAAGGTTTGTTGCACTGAAAAATTCATTAAAATTTCTATCAAAGTCAGGTTTTGTTGTTTCAATACCTTCATATCAAGGGATTCCTTTATATGGAAGCGATCTTAATAACACTCCTGCTAGTTTTTAGAATTTTTTTTTTTTTTGCGAGATTATCATGAGGATTAGTGAAATTTATAAGACGTTGTATAGACATCATCAGGACGACTGTGCCCTCTGAGTTGAAACAAAATAATTGTCAATGCTCTCAGCAAGCTCACATTCAAATAAAATTAATGTTAATGCAAAAAGAAGTTACTTTGTCATTGTTGATCACAGATAATTTTTGATCTTTAGTTTACTCAAACTTCTCTCATCATAAACATATGTAAAAAGAATAGTCACAACTTTTCTAGACCTGATTAGATGAAATCCTTTATTGATTGCAACAATCTGAAAGCCAGGTTGTTGATGATCAACTATCTGATTTGCATTTATAAATTCTAGTATTTCTTGCAGTTGTTTTTATATATTTGTTAATATTTAATTTTTTATGTTTTTTTTCAACTAGAACTAATCATTTAAAACATTACTATAGGATTGAAAAGTTCTTTTAAATTAATATAGTTATGGGAGCCTCTAATACTAGATAATGATTAATATAGTTGGGTAATCCTACAGTTACGCGGTCTAAAATAATTTTATTTTTCTGCTTGTCAGTAGAGGCTTTACAAACAATAGGAATATAATTAAACTAATAAAAAAAAAAATTGCTGCCCCATGCCAAACCCTCAGTCGATGTAGTAGTACTTTCTTGTAGCAGCAGGCTATAAGATATTCGATGTAGCAACACTCTGTTGCAAGTCAGGCTATAAGATAGTCGATGTAGCAAAACCCCCTGGCATAACAAGCGCAAAAAAAAAAATTTTTTTTTTTTTAATTATTTTAAAAAAAATTTGTACCTTTCTCATACATATTGCTTTATCTTCAACCATAGAGGATAAATAATAGATATCAGCAATCATTAGAAAATATAAAAAATACTGATACCATCCTTTAAGCGTGTGTATCAGATACGCTATCAGCAGATATCAGAAACATTTAGTAAATAATTGATCTTAGTGAATTTGATTTAAGAACATTAACATCTAGTTTTAATTTTTTCTAGGTTATTTTTGTTTTGTATGTCTCTCAAAAATGTGTCTAACTTTACAAAATGTGATTTTTTAGTCATTTTTTTTTTTTTTTTGTTATCTTTTTTTATTTTTAAATGGTAAACAACTAAAGAACATTCCTACTAGTGTTACTTTTATTTTTTAGTTGCTAATTATAATTATTTGCATTATATAATGATGCTATTGGTATATTAAATTGCTATGCTTAACATAACTTAATATACTAACATTAATTTTTTTTTTGTCTATTCTGTGGTTATATTTGATGACCCTATTTGTTATTTAAATTGATAGTTTTGCCAGTGAAATGTTATAAATTTGTCTTTATATTGTGTTCTTTTTTAGTAAAACTCCAAAAAAAAACATTCAATGGCACTTGCAAGAAAAGTTAAATTAATAAGCCACTATAAAACTATTAAGTTATCAAAGTCACCCCAAATGAATGGGAATTATTTTGAAAATAAAAAAAATCTAGTTAGACTGAAAAAAATTCATTTAGTGGAATCCTATAAAGGAAAGGTATTCATTAGAATTTCATTGGAAGATAGTAGTTGCTGCTATCTCTGTTAATGCCGCTATTGCTGAACCTTGTATTACGTCACTTATTATTTTAGTCCTATCTATTTTATTATTATTTTAGGACTATTCTTTGGCCTCTACTAGAATGGAAAGCCTCAACCCAGTTTATGATTTTTAATTGAATCTGTAATTTCTAGGTTTATAGAGTTCTTGTGGTGCACCTTTTCATGATATTATTTTGTTTATTATTTTTTTTGATTATACTTAACTCCCCAAGGCCCCAAGAGAAACTACTACAATTGAGGTGGCTACTCATTTAACTTTTTATTTTATTTAATTAAAACTCTTATTTAACTCCAAAACAAAAACCTTGTTAAATAAGGCTGCACTGAAAAATATTTTATAAGAATATTTAAAAAAAAAAATTTTAAAAAACTTAAAAATTGACTTTTTGAAAAATTAAAAAAAAAACCTTTTACCTATTTTTTATAGTAGCTGTTTAAAAAAAAAGGAAATGTAAAGATTAAACGTTGTGTTATGTTGATCTACTGAACATGGTGCCCTTACACAAGGGGGATTATTGTCCTTGTTTTTATGCAGAGATCACTGTTAAAATTTTAATTTTAATAGGTTTAACTCTGGGCAATGGTAATTACCCAGAAATTTCATCAGATCATTATTATTAGAGGTGCTTTAAAAAATTTTTTAACATTAATTTTAATAACAAGCACAATATTTTTTAAACATTAATTTAACAGGACAATGTTTCTAATTATAATTTTGATTACACTGCAGTGTTTATTATGACAAGAGTTTCAAACAGTTTTTTTTATTCAAAACAATCTAAAATGAGATATAACAAACACTTTTGTCTGCAAAGTAATATTAATATTTAATTTTTTTGTATGTAAAATACTGAACGCTTTGGTCATGGAAATGTTCTTGTAAATGAAAAACCAGGTCATTTAATTTTTCTTGAAAAGTCGTGTTTCTGAGATTTTTGATTTTTTAGTTATTTCAATGTTAATTATTATCTTTTTGTTGTACTAGTAGTTACCAGCAACAATATTGTCACAAATTGTTGACCACAAGTATTTTCAACAGTTTTGTAAGTGTTTGGAAATATTTTTAACATTGCATAAAATCTCATTTAGGTGTAGCAACAAAAATTAATTTTTAGGGAGATTGATTTTTATCACCATAGATTCAAACATAAAACCTTTGTTTCAAAAATATAATTTTTAGTTATGATGCAGCATTTTTTTTTCAACTAATGCATTTACAATTTAATATTTCAAAAATGACATTAAGATCATAGTAGATATCAAAAAATATTTATTACAATCTTTATTAACACTTTAAAAATGGTGTAATTAAAATGACATTAGGATCATAGTAGCTTAAAAAAATGTAGATCATAGTAACCTTAAAAAATGCCGCATAATCAATAATATCAATCAAAAATTATATTTCTGAAACAAAAGTTTTATATTTTAACTTCTGGCAACAAAAATTGTTCTCCTTAGAGAATAACCTACACAATGTTAAGATTTTTTTTGAACTCTTACAAACTATTGAAAATACTTGTGGGCAACAAGTTGTGGCGCTGGTAACTACTAGTTACTGCTGGTAACTATTAAACTAGCTACAAGCAGTAGCTAGTAGTTATCAGTGCAGTACAATTTTTTTGAAGTCATCAATGTTCAACAGCATTTAATTATAAATTATTAATAATCAAATGCTAATAATCAGAGTTTGTTTTATTTGCTTAAAAATGATTGTCAAAATGGTGTCAATTTTCAGTTATTTTGGGGACTATTTGTTTATAATTCTAAAAAATGTGGTTTTATTATTATTTTTTTATAGTTATATTTTATATTATACTTATATTTGTTTTACAATATCTTTTTATGATATTTTATATTTTATTTATATTATGTTTTTATTATATCATACTTATAGCTATATTTTATATTTTATTTTTATTTTTAATTTATGGTAACCAAAGCTGATTTTGTTAGCAGGAGGAGGTTTTTACTTTAAAATTCTATACATGGTCATTATATTTTATTTAGTATATTTAAAAGTAAATTTTTTATTTTTAGCTGCACCCTCTATTGATTGCTTGGGTCTGCTCCATATAAATAAGCTGAGCTGTAATGATTCAGTTTCTGTGGTAGAGGGTGATCCTCTTACAATTTCCTGTCAAGCGCGATTGGCTCTTCCACCAGCTCAATATGAATATAAGCGAATTGTTAATGGATCTGTTGTAAATATTGATTCAACAAAAATTAAGGTTTTTTTTTAAATTAATTCATACTATAACTTTTTTAATTGGTGAAATAAAATTACTTTATTTCTTTTTTCATTGATATTTAATAGTTATATATTTGTTAAAGTTTTATGTTTTATCAGTTGAGTGTTTAATATGCTCAAATTATCCAATATGTTAGTAATACTAATAACTGAACCTGTCATTTTGAAAGGGGCACAAGTCCATTTATTAAAATTTTTCAAAATTAACAAAACTTTTATTTTTTATAAAAAAAACATCTTAAAGAAATTTTAAATTTAAATTTATAAACTAACTAATAAAAGTTTTTGTCTTGTGTCCTTTTTGAAATTACTGGTTCAGTTATATTGAATACTTTTTTTTATCATTTACAGGCATGACCTATAAACTATGAAAGGTCTATCTCCTTACCCTCTTTTTTTTTTTAAATTAATCAGTACAATATTAAAAACAATATTAAGTGCAAATACAAGAATAGAATTGTTTGTTTATAACAAGTAATGTTTATAATTGAGTTGTTTTAAGTCTTTTTATTGATATTAAAAGTAAAAAATTAAAAAAAACTTCAAATTAAAAGATAAAAAAACTTCATCATTTTTAATGCCATATTTTTTTTCAACATTGATAATATGTTTATGAGCTTTTTCTCTTCTGATCATCTCTCAGGTAACTTAATTATTTCTCAGATTTCAGATCACATGGCACAATTTTCCTGTGTTTCTGGTACAGCCAGCCACTCAAATAGAGTTAAATTTTTAGATAATGCCTAAAAATTTCGATCCAAACAAATTTGCTCTAGAAATTTCTAAAATCAACCGGTTATGATTTAAAAAAATGATACTGGGTCATTCCATGCCAAATCGACCAAAATTTTAGGATTTCAACATGGGTCCCTTTAGATTTTGATGAGACTTAGTGGGTTTCTTATTATTAATGAGAAAAGCAATTCCTGAAAATTTCTGCATAAAATCTTTTGTGGTTCATGAGATATGGTCATTTGAAATTTCTGATTTTTCCAAAAATAAAAACTTTAGTAGCTAAAACAGTTTTGTTCATACTTTGAAGCTCTATATTAAAAAAAAAAATTACAGAAAACCTTCTACTTTTTTTATTGTATACAACTCTAGACTTACTTTAACAAAACTTTGACATTGAATTCTTGAATGTCACATTTTTTCCATAATAGCTACCTAAAAAACCTTAAAAATTGTTTGCAAATATAAAAAGTTGATTTTTTATGAGTCCATATACAAAACCAGCAGTTTAAGAAGTGAAAAGACAATTTTTTCAGTTTTTATATATGCTAGGCTTCGAAATTTTCAGAAATTTTCTGATAATATACAAATCAGTAAGAAATTATAGACTTCTAAAAATGGTTGTGGCTAAAATTTAGAAAAATGTGCCTCCACTTCAAACCACCAGTAACCTAGGATCAACACTGGTTTTAAACACATACTATATTAATTCCTGGTGAAAGAGAAGCAACTGGAACTATATGTTGCATTTTAGGAACATTTGCATTAGCATATATATTGTCAAATGACACCAGTCTCATCTGTAAAGTAGATAATGATTGTGGTATAAAACAATGGTGGTTTCTTGTTCCTGGAATTTTTGAATGAGTAGCATAACGTTCTTTTAATTTAAACTCTATGCGATGTAATACAATTGCATCATTTGAAGTGTATTGAAAATGCATTCCTTTGATATTTTGTCTACACCAATCATACATTTTCTCAGGTGAATTGATAGAATCTCTAAGTGATTGTAAACTGGCCTTAGCTACAAATTTTTTGACACTGCCCCCAACGCCATCACATACACTCTTTCCATGTGATGTAGAAAAAAAATGCCATTCCGCAGATACTTTATAACTTAATTCATGGTGACATAAGTTAGATATGCTTATGTAATTTTTGTATTGTGAACATGCCCCATCACTAAAATAAATGCAATCTTTAAAGAAGGCAACAACCCTTTTGTTTTATTACTTCATAAATAAAACAATGAACTAAGTTTGTATTGTGTTGCAAATGATCAGAAATGATACAAACACTTTTACATTTTATCTTATTTGCTTCCATATAGTAAATAACAAAAAGGTGCATATTTGCTTGACTGTTGTTCGAATGGAAACCTTGTTCTGCATCTTGAATTAAAAAACTGTAATTTTCAGCAAAGTCTAGTAATACTAAAATATGATTACATTGTAATGTTATTTTTAGATGCTGCAAATATGCTGCTTGATTTTTGGCTATATAATGGTGGTCTCTTAATTGGTCTATTTAGTGACAAGCTTTTTCAATAAAATCATACACTGAAAGAGTTACTGGAACTATATCATGTTTTTTGTTGGCTTTTTGCCACTGATTAAAGGTGATATCTCCCATGCGGTATCTATCAAACAAAGCAGTAAGATACTCTTTTAGTGTGTTGGTATCTTGGCAGTTATTGCAATTGTGCAGCATGCAGTCTCGATTTGTTAAGACACATACAACTAATGTTGGGAGGTCTTTATAGTCTGAAATATATGGTATTTTAATGCTAAAAGTTGGTGGTACCCCACAGATACATACTTAATGGACACCTGAAGCACCTCCAATAGGAATACACCACTTGGGCCTAAGTTTTTTAACAAAATTCATTTAAAAGATTCAGTGTTTATATTGATTGTTTATTACGTAATAATATTCTTTATTAGTTTTTAATGTTTTTATATAAAACTTATAAAGTTTTATATAGAAACATTAAAAACTAAATTTCAGTTTTTATATGTATATGTGTAGTGGTGTGTTTAAGCATAAAGGCATTTTATACATCAGTCATAAAACCAGACACACCGTATAAGGAGAAGTGTTCAATTACAATTTTTTTCTAAGTTCTGGGGAAAAATGTGCATGTTTAAAAGTAAATGGACAGGGGAGGGAGGAGGGGGCAGGAAAGAGCTAGGGTATTTAAAAACTGAGTTTAGTTCAGGCTTAATTAAAGACTTATTTCTAGTACTGATTATGAAATACTACTTTTAAATTCATACATACTTTGTATTACAATATATAATACAAACTAAAGTACAAAAATAACTTTATTTTTATTGTTTTTAATACATTTTGGGCAATTTTCATTGTTCTGATTTTGTAACTTCCCCATGATTACCCACTTTTTTTTTTCACTGTAATAAAGTTTATTAAATTAAAAGAAAAAAAAATCTTTTTAAAACCAGTGTTGATCCTAGGTTACTGGTGGTTTAAAGTGGAGGCACATTTTCCTAAATTTTAGCCACAGCTATTTTTTAGAACTCTATTATTTCTTACTGATTTGTATCTTATCAGAAAATGTCTGAAAATTTGGAAGCCTACCATATATAAAAACTAAAAAAATCTGTCTTTTCACTTCTTAAACTGCTGGTTTTGTATATGGACTCATCAAAAATCAACTTTTTATATTTGCAAACCATTATTTAGGTTTTTTAGGTAGCCATTATGGAAAAAATGTGACATTCAAGAATTCAATGTCAAAGTTTTTTTAAAGTAAGTCAAGAGTTGTATACAATAAAAAAAACTAGAAGGTTTTCTGAAACTTTGTTTTTAAAATATAAAGCTAGAAAGTATGAACAACACATGTTTTTGCTACTAAAGTTTTTATTTTTTGGAAAAATCAGAAATTTCAAATGACCATATCTCATGAACCACAAAAGATTTTATGCAGAAATTTTCAGGAATTGCTTTACTCATTATTAATAAAAAGCCCACAAAGCATCATCAAAATGAGGGGGTCCATGTTGAAATCCTAAAATTTTGGTCTATTTGGCATGGAATGACCTTTTATTGATATTTATTAAAGGTAAGGTTACTATTAATGAAATATCCTTAATAATTGAGAAATGGAAATTATGGTTCATGGAAAGCAATGTAGTAAAAAAAAAGAAAAGAAAGCTGAATGTAAAATTAAAACAAAGGAAAAAACATGTGATTTTATATAAAAGACATTAGATTGTTCTCCTATGATAATTAGAAATGCATTAAAATGGAAATAGGTGATGAATCAAGGGGTTGAAAAAGAAAAACAACTGAGCATACAGACCAATTAATACCCAAAATTTATTTAGGTTAATGGTATGCATAAGTAGGCCAATATAAAAACTGTTAAACATGGTGGATCAAAAAAAAATATTTGTGCTTCTATTTTCTATTACAGCATAGGGCGCAAAAGATTGATAGAATTAACATATTTATTTGGAAATTTTATAAAATAGCTTCTGTTTGGATTTGTTAATTTTAAGCACACTAGTATTATAAAGTAAAAGTAAAATAAATTATAAATATATTATAAATATGTATAAATATAAATTATAAATAAATAGTTCCCGTAAATCTCTAACCAAATACATTTAGACCCGTGACAGCTTCCGTTAAAAAAAGTTGGTATTAGAATTAATTAAATTGAGGAAGCTATTTAGATTTAATGTTTTTTTAAAAAACTGCAAAAACGCAAATTAAAAGATTAGAATGTTTTAAAAGTGTATATATATATATATATATATATATATATATATATATATATATATATATATATATATATATATATATATATATAAACAGGGGCTAGTCTAGGAAAAAAAATTTGGGCTGCGGTACTCCCTGTTGCGGAGAAATTTAGCAGAAATATTGCCGAATATCAGCATTTTTTCGCAAAAAAAATTACATTAGTTGTAAAAAACGTTAAAAAAAAAGTCCTCAGTTTTTAGTTTATGTATATATATATATATATATATATATATATATATATATATATATATATATATATATATATATAATATATATATATATATATATATATATATATATTATTTCAGAATATTATGCCACCGTGGGCGATGAGTAAGTTGTATCAAAATTGCATAAATAAATTGATTGTAGGTAAAAAATTAGTGAGCATCATTATACGCTTTAATTAATAGTTTAAGAATGTTTTTGTTTTTCCGGATTCCAATATGTTTTTGTAAA